TAAATCCTCCCTTGAAAGACTTTGCTGGATGTGAATGAGCAGAATTCACAGCAAATTAATAAAAGGAGTTTTTGTCGGGACCAGGAGTTTACTGCATGCTCTTGGGAAGCCAGAACAGGGCTCTGATAAATTGCAACTGGTTCTCACAAAGACCCACACAGACAGGCCACAAACGAGGCCACAACTTCCACTCACCCACATTTTGCTCCAGTTGTAGCTAAACTCATAGGACACTTGTCCTCAGCATGGTGAATATGTTACAGATTCATTTGCTCACAGTTAAAACGCGTCACTACAGCTCACTAATTAGTTTAGCGTGCGAGGAGACACCACCCAATTAATTATTTTGGGAGATAACACGTTCCGCCCTTCTCCTTCGCATTTCACAACCTTAATCTGTTTTGGGGGACCTAGACGCTTCCTCATGCCTCCCCTCTCTCTCTCCCTCCCTCCCTCCTCCCTCTCCCCCCCTCTCTCTCATACACATACACACTTCTCTTTTCTCTTTCCTCTCTCCCTCCCATCTCTTTCTCTCTCTCTCTCTCCTTCTCCTTCTTCTCTTTCTTTCTCCCTCCTCTTCCTCTTCTCTCTCTTTCTCTCTTCTCTCTCTGCTCTCCTCTCTCTCTCCTCTTTCTCTCTCACACTTCTCTTTTCTCTTTCCTCTCTCCCTCCCCTCTCTTCCTCTCTCTTTCTTTCTCCCTCTTCTCTTTCTCTTTCTCTTTCTCTTTCTCTTTCTCTTTCTTTCTCCCTCTTCTCTTCCTCTTCTCTTCCTCTCTCTCTTCTCTTTTTCCCTCTTCTCTCTCTCTCTCTCCCTTTTCTTTCTCTCCCTGCCTTTTCTCTCTCTTTCTTCTCTCTCTCTCTCTCCTCCATGAGGACTGGGAAACTGAAGCTTTCCACAAACACACTTGCACAGCCAATATAATATCCTGCAGAACCTTGACCTGAGCCCCACCCTGGTTGTGTGAAACGAAACTCGTCTTCCAAATAAGAAAATCGAACAAAATTTGATTCCTATATATACAGTTTACAGTATGTATACACACACACAGACACACACACATAATGTCCCGGATGTAAAACATAATTAAACCAAATATTTCAGTATTTAATGACTAGCTGATGATCAAGCAATCAGACAGACATCTGGGAAATTAAAAAAAAAAAAGAAACATTGCTATGCCTGCAGTTTGGATGAGAAACGGTGATAGTTCAACCAGCAAAACACTCCACCAATCGTATCGGTTTCCAAGCTAATTCATTGCAGAGAAGCAAATAGTATGGAGTTGTTGCAATTGGTTTTTATTAATTTCATCCTGTCTTTGTTATTTTTATAAATAAGTCAAGGCAGCAAACATCCTTCTTCCTCTTGCTCTTTATCCCACAACAACAGCAACCCTGTGAAGTAGGCTGGGCTGAGAGAAAGATTGGTCCAAGGTTACCCAACTGGTTTTCATGCTTAAGGCAGCACTAGAACTCCCAGTCTCCTGGTGATTGGCCCAATGTCAGCCAGCTCGTTTTCATGCCTAAGGCAGGACTACAACTCACCGTCTCCTGGTGATTGGCCCAAAGTCACCCACCCCTAAGGCAGAACTAGAACTCACTGTCTCCTGGTGATTGACTTAAAGTCGCCCAGCCAACTTTCATGTTTAAGGCGAGACTAGAATTCTTCCTCTCTTGGTGATTGGCCCAAAATCACCCAGCCTGCTTTCATGCCTAAGGCGGAACTAGAACTCACCATCTCCTGGTTTCAATGAATCAGCACGTAAAGCGTGTTCAGCTATTACAGCACGCAAAGTCTACACCTCAGCAGAGATTGCAGCAATCCAAATTAAAATCTGAGTTTCTTTGAACAAGAATGGCAAATTGAAAACTCAAATTCACAGACACACACACACAGAAAGTCAAAAGCCATTTCCCCCCAAAAAATCTTACCAGTTTCCCTTCTGGCCCATCTCTCCTGGGCCCCTGATCCAGGATTTCTGTGCAGGAATTCTTCTCCACAGCTTTGTTCTCGGCTCCGCCCGGAGACAAGGAATAGAAAGGAGGGCTCGGGCTGGGGGGCAGCCCCGAATCAGGACTGTCCAGCAAACTCTCCTGGTTCTTTTCCTTGTTGGTGTTGTCCATACCTTGGAACTGCAGGTGACCCACCATGACTGGTTGGGGGGAGGGGGAGAGGAAGGTGGAAAGAAAAGTGGGTCAGGAACAGTGGTGGGTTCTGGATCCCGTTGCAACCAGTACAGTTGCAACGGGGCCTGGCGTCCTCCACATGAATGTGCGCTTGCATCTTACTGTTGCGACACCTCCACGATGCTCCAGCTGCTTGGCGGAGCATTGTGCAGGCGCTGTATGCGCGGTGCACATGCACAGAAACACCAAAGACTTTAAAGACAGGTAAAGAGTGTGGGCGGGAGGGTACCCGGTGCTCTCGCCCAGCGTACTGGGGCGTACCGCCTGCAACCCATCCACCACTGGTCAGGAAGATAAAATCCACCAAGCTGCCAAAAATCCACCTCTGCCTGGGAGGGCCAAGAACCGGGAATGGGGTGGGGTAGTTTTGTGGCCCGCCAGCGGCCAGCAGAACTGGTGGCAGGCTCAGACAGCAAGGAGGTTTGGGAGGAACCTGGGCCAGTCCTGGAGTCTGGGTTCTGTGTCGGAGGCAGAGAGGAGGGCAGAGCAGTATGCCTTCGGAGTCGGAGATCAGTGGGGCAGATGAACAGTAGGAGCCTGTTCCCAGTGTGTGCAAGCGCAGAGCTGCCAGGAGAAGGGAACAGCTAAGGAACAGGGGCCGACTTGGGAGTAAAGCCACAAGTGGGCAGTGAATGGCCCATCCCATAGGGAATAAAGAGGAGCAAAAGGGGAGTGGAGTTTGCAGGAGTTCAATTCATTCAGGTGAAGATCTGTTCCTGACTTCTTGCCAAGTAATTGCTGCTACAGCTTGGCGTTTGGAAGATATCGGCCTAGCAGCTCTCCAAGCCTGATAATGGTCTGTAGTTGTAAAATCTCATGGAAGACTGTTGGCCGGGACTTTGCTGGAGAGGAACTCCCTTTAACCGAAATAAAAGAGGTTTTATCGGGATCAGGAGTCGGCTTCATGATCTTGGAAAGCCTAGGCAGAACAGGTAGGCAATTCATTTTCCCAAGCAGACACCTGAGAAACTGGGCCTGTTGTGGAGGGTCCAGTTGAAACAAAACAGCAGCTGGCTTTTAAACTTAAACTAAAAAATGATGTTGTTATATTGCTGCATGCATGTCGTATTTACACATGATTTCTATTTTCTCAAAGGACCTCACTTGGGCCGGACTGGGGCAGCCAAAAGGCCAGATGTGTCCCAGGGACCCTACAATGCCAAGGTTTGGCCAAGAGGAAGGGGCAGGAGAGGGTAGCCACCAGGTGATCCCCAAAAGATTAAAGGACCTGCCCGTCCTTTTTCACACGGCTTACCTTGAAAAGGGGTTAGGAGATTCTCCCTTCTGTTTCTCAGAGGCAGGGTTAAGTGGGAGCTGGGGGTCTAGACGAGTCCGTCTCAAGCCCCCCCAACACTCATGTGGAGTGACCTTTCCCAGTCTCAGCTCAAACTAGGGGAAAAAAATCAAGAATGAGTCTCACCCAAAGTATCCAAAATAGCAAATTGAAGGAGCGGTTATCTTCAGCTTGGTTCCCAAACTGGGATTTGGGGTCTGGCAAACCCCCTTTGCTTCTAAGGGGTGGTCTTACACACACACAAACACACGCACGCACGCACACTCAACCTCTTTCACTTTCTTGCAGGTGGGAACTGCAGATCCCCTAGCAATCTTAAACTGGAATGCAAAAGTTTTCCAAAACCTTGAATTTTAATCCCACATTCTGCTCACATGGAGTTGCAAACCTCCGGTAAATTCACAAATTGGGAAAAGGTGCTGTTTTTTTGTCTGCCCCAAGACAGGTTTGCACCCATTCAGGGTCTGAAGCCCTGAAAGGGAAGCCAGGAGAAATAGGGGGCGGGGGACGGGACGGGGGACAACAGGGAGCAATATTCATCTCACTCTTCCTGCACCCTCCACCCGAAATAACGACCCCCCCCACTCCAAGAATCGGCCAAAGCCTCTAAAGGCGCTTCTTCTGCCCCGTTCCACCCCCTGCCCCGACCCCAATCCAGCCCAACCTAGCCAAGGTCCCCTCTCCGGAGCCCCGATTGGCTCGCCGAGAGCGCAGGGCGCATACGGGCCGGGGCGCACAGGGTCCGAAGGCGCACGGCTTGCACCCTGCGCTCCGGGGCAATCCAGTGCCCGGGTGGGTGGCTGAGTGTCCGGAGGTCGTCGGCTGCTTCTCCAAGCCTCCTGCCTCTGCCCTGAATCCGCTGCTGCTGGGAGAGTGCCGGAGCGCAGGATAGAGAAGGCGCAGAGCAAGCGGGCGATATCAAGCGGCGCGCCCGGCTCCTTCCTTCCCTCCTTCTTTCCTTCTCCTTCTTTCCTTCCTTCCTTCTCCCTCTCTCCCTTTCTTTCATCCTTCCCTCCCTCCCTCCCTTCTTCCCTCCTCCCTCCTTCTTTCCTTCCTTCTCCTTCCTTCCCCCTCCCTCCTTCCCTCCGTCTCTTTCCTTCTCCCTCCTTCCTTCTTTCTTTCCCTCCCTTCTTCCCTCCCTCTCTCCTTCTTTCTTTCCTTCCTTCTCCTTCCCTCCTTCTTTCCTTCTCCCTCCCTCCTTTCCTCCTTCCCTTTCTCCCACTCTCCCTTCTTCTTTCCTTCCTTCCTCCCTTCTCCCTTCCCCGGGAGGGGAAGCGGAACCAGGCCAACCCCGAGCCTACGTGGGAGCGGCGGGCTCCTCTGCAGCGCGGCGGTGGCGGTGGCTCCGCTCCAGCTGCAGCTCCCTTCGGTCCCCGAGGCGAGCCCGGCCCGGAGTCCGAGCGGAGGCTCCCTGCTGCTCCTCCTCCTCCTCCGCCTCTTTCCCCTCCCCGAGCCTGACCCGCCTCCTCCTCGCGGGGAGCAGAGCCGGCCCCCCGCTCTCCCCTCTCCCCAGCAAGCGCCTGGTGGTCGTGGGGACGCCTCCTCGCTCGCCCTCCCCCTCTGCTTCTGGGTGGGGACGCGTCCAGACGGGCGCTTTTTGGAGAGGAGCGAGGGCTGCGCTTCTGGGAGGGTGGGGGGCCTTCAGAAGAGGAGGAGGAGGAAGGGAGATTTGACTTTCCGAGTATCGGAGGGCTAAATCAAATATGATTTAGAAAAGAAGTCCTCGTTTTATGACCAGAATGGGGACAGCATGCAACTTGATTTGGGGAGGTAAGGAAAAGGTGAGGAGGAAGAGAGAGGGAGGGGGGCATTTTGCTAAAACTAGTTTGATTAGGGGAGGGGAGAAAAGGAGAAAGAGCAAAAAAATTCAAGTCAGATTCAGGACCTGCAAACCCCAATACCTGTGACGAATAAATGTTCTTAATGGTGATTAATTAGGCTTGACATATTTTGAATGTATTCCATTTTCTTTTTTTTCTTTTTGTTTAAATTTTTATTTTATTCAAAAGATTAATAGAAGACAGACAGACAGACAGATACACAGATGGAAACAGAGATAGAAAAAGAGAAAGGAAGGAAGAAAAAAGAAAGAAAAGGTGATAGAGGTAGACTCACAGAAAGATAAATGGATGGATGGATGGACAGATGGACAGACAGAGATATGGATGGATCGATGGATGGATAGATAGAAACACAAATGGAAAGAAAGAAAAAAGATAGACAGATATAGAGATAGATAGAGATAGATAGATACATAATGAGAGAGATATGATAGATAGGTGATATAGATAGATAGATAGATAGATAGATAGATAGATAGATAGATAGATAGATAGATAGATAGATGATAAAGATAGATAGATAGA